AATAATGTAAAGGCAGCCTAATTCATAAAACATTTTTTTCTGTAGTCTGTAGTCTTTTATATTCATCTTTTTCTGAAGACACTCAGGAATGTAGCACAACACAAGATCTTGGAGTATAAACTGTAGAAAGATGATCTTTTTTTTTTTTTTTTTTTCTTTTAGTACCTTACATGTACTTTAGTCTATGTTGGCCACTTATAAGAGCAAAGGCAGATATTTCATACTAGCAAAATAAGTAAAAAAAGATGCCAGAGAGGTAAAAGTAATGAGCTAGGTTAATTATGAAAAGAATTTTCCGAGTAATCTAGAGATTTTTCTTAAAATTACTTTAAGAAAATATAGAAACCTTTTTCATTCACTGGAGGCAGTTGCAAATTGAATGTTTTTGTGTTGAATCTTCTTAACCCTGAAGTTGCCTTGTCTTTTTAAAGGCAACTGGACCCTGAAGTTGGCTTTCTTATAGTTGATATGTATTTTTATGATTGCCTTTCTTTTTTTCTGTAGTAGATTAACTACTTTAAAAACTGAGCATTATTTCTTTTACTTCATCTTAGAATTTAGTGGAACACGAAGACACAGTTGGGTTAGCCATCTTTTTCTTGGCTATCTTTCAACAAATACTTGACCTTTAAAACTAGTGAAGTAACTTGCATCCTAATAACATTTTTGAATAGTATCAGTTCCAAGTAGAAGAAGATAAAATTATTGGAATTTGGTTAGATGTTGTTCTTAAAACATTATAATAGAGTTTTTTTCTCATTACAACTTTCTTCTCTTTTAGGAACTTGCTTTTCATGATTAAGTGTGTGTCTTTAAAATGCTATACATTTCTTAAAGTTCCAAACTTTCTGCCCTATTTTGATGTTTTTAAGGTGTATCCCATTTGATAACGTATAGTAGAGTGTGGTTTAGAAATAATCTTTTCCTCCAGAGCCAGTATAGCACCTGAGCTACCTAATTCTAAGGAAGCTGGGTTTTTGGCAATATTGCTCATTTTTTTAAAACTGAAAATTTGAAATTGGATGTTCTGGCAAGACCTGGTTTGTTTTCTTAAAATTTTAAATCTGGAGAAAGAGCATTAGAAAATCTATAGTGGGTGTTGTAATTTAGCTAAAATTTGGGTCATCTCAGAATAATATTTTTGACGTTTCTGCTGACCATACTCAAAAATTAACCCTAGAAACTGACCCCCAGAAGAGACCGATGAAAGTAATAGTTTTGATAGTTTTTATTGTCTTTAAGATTAGAGAGTTGAACTTTTTAGCACCAACTTTACATATCAGCTGCTTGACAAAATTCTCCCATTCTGTTTCTTGATCAGTAGACTTCATTCATCTGTATGACATTCACTGAATTTACCTAACACCGCGTGCCAAGTGTCTTCCAGGGGCTGGGGATGCAGCAGCTCACCGCTTCCGTGAAGGACATTCTTTCGTTTTCTCCTCGGTGCCTGCTGGGGCTGTCTGGACGCTTGGAGGGATTCGTGAAAAATTGTTTTTCTTGATTCATGAGAAATTTTTTCTTTATAGATATGACTTAGAACAAATAAGAATGAGAGATAAAAGATAAATAGGAAAAAGCTCTTACTTCATGCTTCCAATTTAGTGTAGAATGTCTTTTTTATGAGTAATCTGTAAGTTCAGTCAACTGCAGATCAGCTAGTTATCATACCCGTGAATAGAAATCACAGTCCTTGTAAAAATGTGTTACTTTCTACTTTGTTGCTCAAAATGATTAGATGTAGCTTTCCCTCTTTCTTCAATATTGGAAATGCTTAAGACAAATCAGCAGTATATGTTCCTTTAGTAGTTTAGTATTGAAAACAAATATAGCAAATAGTCTAGTTTGTACTTTTCAGGAGAATTTCTCGGTGTGGTATTTATATATAAAATACTTTGATTTATTGCTTCTGTTTTGAACGTAATGAGATTTTCCGTTAGACTCTTCAAAACTTTCTTGATGGGGACGTTGACATGGTTTTCTCGACCTGGGTCACCGTGCGCGTTGCTCTGGCATCTCGGCGTCCCTGATTCCGTCGGCGCCGGCGTGGCGTTTGTTCTCTAGTGGAGTCTTGCAGTGGAGTGCTTATTTTTCTCTCTCTGGGAGCATCACATGGAGGAGGGCTGTCTGTTAAAATAGACTTAGGTAAGGTCCTATGGTGTCATTCTTCGGAGCCTCCATCAACAGTCTCACAAAGGCTGCGCCTTCTTGTTTGAATAATGATCTCATTTTAAAAGTGCTTTTGTACTTTTCTTTATAAATGGTGCAATATGAAATCCACAGTGATTAACTCCTGAAGCAGGAGAGAGAACAGCTCTCTTCAGTGATTCATAATAACTTCTGTTTAGAGAAATGTGTTCGTTTATTCAGTTTGGGCTATGAATATGTTGAATCCACAAGTTTTGGTACTTCAGGCAAAATAAAGAAGTTATATCCTGAAAGCAGTATGACTTGGGAGAAGTTTATAAGTGGATTTGCTTCTCTAGCCAACTCATTTGCCCTATAACCTAATCTGAGGACATTTTTTAAAATCTAAGTTTGTTGTATTTTTGATTTATATATTCTGTGGGATGTGAAAATGAAGAGTTCGTAGCTCCTACTGAAGGAGAAATTGGAAACTTAGCCCAATATCAGTCTGAGCGAGATAGGAAGACTTGGGGCGGGGTGGTATTTTCAAAGTGAAGAGTGCCTGTAAACCTAACAAAAAAATGACCAGATGAATTTTTCGGTCCCAAACGGAACACTCCTTTTTTGCCTGTTTTCAATCGGATATAATGTTATTACTGATTAGTATTCAAGAAATGAAGGAAAAGTGGGAAATTTGGAAAATCATATTTTCTTCATAGTTTCTGAGTATATTTTTAACTGTATCTTAACGTAACTAAGTTTTACTGAGGTCTCATTAATTGGGAAATCTTTAATAATTTTCATGGTTTATATTGTACAATTAGACAGGAAAAGGAATGATTTGTCAAGGAAATTGACTAGAAGAGACTGGAGAATGATCGTTGAATTTAAAAGCACGTTTGTAGCTCCCGCTTGCTCTGTGTCGGTACGACGAAAACACGGACAGGAGCTCTGGTGTATTAATTTCAAGCCTTTCTCATCCGTTAAAGAGCCCCCCGCCCCCACCCCAGGAACTCCAACCGTGGAATACATTGTTAATCTATTTGGGATTTTTGGAGTCTGGAAACTCCCTCATTAGATCGCATTTCTTGAGCTACTCAGTAGTCAGATCTTTTTCTAATTTGTGTTCCTTTCCTCTCTTCATCCCTCACATAACTCCTCAATGTGATTATATTGTAAAATATTGTTTAAAGCCGCTGCTCAAAAAATACAGTCCTTTCAAAACTAAAAGACTTCGGGACTTAACATCTATTGGAAACTTAAAATGAAAAAAAGAGCTGGCACGTAGGCTCACGAAGATTTCCGCAGTTACTTTTTTGATACCTCTTGCTAGACGATAGTTTCACCCCTTGGCTCCTTTTAGATTTCTTTTTTCATTTCTTGCTTGCTTTACTTTTTGGAAATTACAGATTCGATGGTTAAATTTGTAGGTTGTCTTAGTTCAAAGTATTTTCATTTCTCACTGGTACAGAATTGAATGTATTCCTAAAACAGAAGTGTTAGCTCAGTCTTTCATCTTTGGGCTTTAAAACAATTTCAGTCTAAATGTCGTTAGGTAATGGCATAACCATTCCTTTTCAGCTCTTGGTATATTTCCACACTGGCCGGCAGAGCCAGGAGGAAGCGAAGGCCCTAAAACATTGCCTTCGGTTGGCCTTCTTAGTGCTGAGACTGTAGCCTTTGTTGATTGGTTGGTAGCGAACAAGAGCTCACAACCCTCGTGCCACTAACAGGTAAGGAACCCTTGTGACAACCAGTTGCGAGAGACAGATTACTTGACGGTATTTTGTTGTTGTTGTTAATTTATCCCCCAATATGATATAGGATGGTGTGACCGTTATGTTCCATACAGCATGAATATGCAGCACCTTTCTATTGAGAATAAGATCTGAAATTTAATAGGGATGTATCACTCTGTACCACAAAGTAAAACTGATCTGTTTCCCACTGTTCAGTTCCATCCTGCAGCCCCTATGGCTTTAAATACATGTCTGCCTGTCTTACTCTGCTTTCAGCTTTTCCGTGGTCAGATGCTACGTGCTTGGAGCTTCTTTCTCTTATTTACCTATAATACAAACTATTTCTAGTATCTTTATCATCATCTGTTATTTGGGTATGTCTTACTGCTTTAATTTCTGCATTATAGCCATTAATGATTATTTCCTGGTCCTTCTTGACCCAAAACCAAATGATCATATGTTTTAAAAAGACTTTTAGTCTGTTTTGCCTATGCAAACTATTCTGCCCTCCTACTTTTAAACCTGAGTGCTTGAAGAATAAATCTTTTTCAGTGACAGTAGCCATAGCTTGATAAAATTCAGCTTTAGTTTTGTATTGCCATAATATGGGATTGTAGTCTGATCAATTCTTTAAATTACTGAAGACTTAAAAACAGAGAACAAATTCAGCTTCTTAGACAATTCCCAAGATTTAGTAGTATTCCTGTTAACATGCTCGATTATTCTGTTTCTACTTTTCAATCCGTCTTCTCTTTGACAGAAGAATGAACTGGGACGCCTCCTCTGACATATCTGAGGTCGAGTGCCGTTCCCGTCCCTTTAAGACCACTGTGATCTTGTTTCCAGTCATAATTTGTCATTTTCGATTTGGTCTTCACCACTTGAAGTTGAGTGGTTTGTCACAGAGCGTGTTATGGCTTAGACCAAGAGAGGCCCCTTCTTAATACTTACCGAGTTATTAATCGTTTGTGGGACACGTTTCTAAAATTCGAATTAAGAAGGCACTAAAGAAAGTATGCCCAAAGGTAGCTTCTTTTTATCCTGACAATAAGTCATTACAAACTCAAATGACCAGAGAATGTAATTTCTTAATAAGAATTTTTTCTTAAATCTATATTCAGCTCTCTATTTCAGTGCTTCTCTCCTACCAGAGGTGCAAGGAGCGATCCTAGAACCACAGATACAGCCAAGACCACGGAGAGCTTTTGACGTCAGGGGTCCACTTCCTCCACTGAAGGCTTGGAGGCAGAATATCCAGCTTCTGGAGAGAGTGGGAAAGGATAAGAAACAAGTGGGTGCTTTCCATTATTTACTTGGGTTTATTTATAGGTCGGAGTGTCCTTCCCATCGCCCATTTAATTCCGTTGGTGAACTCCTTGGGTTCATATTAGAACCGAGTGGGGCTGCAATCTGTTTGTTTTTCTAAGAATGCTCACTGGTTAGTGCCTGTTCAAAAAAGAGACCTAAAATTTATTTATCTCTCCAGATAATTAAAGCAGTGGATAATTTGGGGCACTTGATTTGGTGAATACCTGTGTAGTCCACAGGATTTTTTAAAAGAGAGTATTTGCCCATTATACTTTAACGGTATTAGCGGGCTTGCAAGTGCTCTCTTATATTCCAGTAATGAAGACGTGTCTGTATTTCATCTCCGGGTAAGCTGGACATCTGAACGCTGCTAACTTACAGTGGGATGTCCAGGTGTTCTACCCTGTTAGTGAGAAAGTTTGGGTCTTTTTCCTACCTCAAACTTTAGGACTTTGTATTAATTAGATCTTGGAAGTTGCAATGACACTACTGTTATGATTTTACTGTCAAATCTAGGCTTCATTCTTTAAGAAGATAAATATGAATGAATATAAGTTTCAGGATCCAGTATCCCTGAAAGCTATGATAAATACCCTCACCAGTAGTTTCCTCGTCCCTAGGAACCATGTTATTTGTGGCAGGAGAGCCTTGTCCTAGATTTCCCCATGGCGTTAAGATGGTTTTCCCTTAGTCTCTTTGATGCCAGGGGCAGGATTTGATCCCAGGAAGCTCTTAGCATCTGCGGTGGGTAGAATGTGAACTCGGTGCCTTTGGCAAGTTTTCATTTTTCCTTGGTGGATCCCTTCTGTGACTCCAGGTATCTTGGTAATGGGAGACGGTTTATTTGTTCTCTAATCGCCCAGATTTCTTTCACCTGGTAAACGTCATGCTTCTTCAGCAAAAGGAACCTCTTCTAGCAGAGCCGCCATGGACGGTAACTCACACACGCAGCACCAGCAGTTGGAAGGCAGTGCTGGACGGAGCCATGCGCTATGCCTAGAAGACACAAGGACGAGAGAGCCACCTCACCTTGTCACTTGCAAACTCGGAGATTTGCTCTGGCGTACTCTCGGTTTGGAAATGGAAAGGCTCAAATAATGCGATAAGCTTTTCAGATTGGAATCTTACGTGGCCGTGACACTATTCCTTTCTGTTCGGAAGACCGAGATAGAGGAAGCACGGGAGACTCCTTTCTCTTAAGAGCAGCTCTCTGTGTCTGTTTCACTTCAGACTTGTGGGATTGAGAATCGCCTTACTCAAGCACGCAGACCTTTTTAAGCAGCGTAGGAGATCCAAAAAAAAACTTAATGAAATTGTTTTTTTGTTGCCTTGCAGTGAAAGGAACTAGAGATAAAGGCGAACGTCTTAATTATTTCCAAATTACTTTTAAAATCAGGACACACTCTTTTAGCTTACCTTTTTCCGGTCTTGAGCCTTATTTTTATTGGTCAGATCAACAAAGATGCTAGTACAGAAGCAGAAGAGACATCTTTTGAGATGAAAGTAGCTCGTTCCTTCTTCTGAAGTAGGACACACCTGTGAAAGCGAGGGTAGTGTCTGCACTGCAGGTGTAGTAAAGTTTGAGTGACGCTGAGGCATTTTACAGAGCAAGTGCAGGACGTGTGGACCAGTGTCGCATATAGTTACCAAGTGACGAGTTGATGGTAATAGTTATCAAAATTTTTCTGTGTCTTTGTTTTTGTATCTATTAACTGGTCAAACAAAGCTGTTAAAGACGTTTTTAAAAGTTATCTGATGCTGCCAGTTTTATTTGGTGTAAATTTTAAGAATAGAAATTCTAGAATTATTAATATGGAAGCATCTAAAATGTTTCAGAAAACAAATTTGCTAAGTTATAACCTGGTCTTTAGTCTTTCTTGGCTGTTAGACCTGTTTTATCCTCGTTAATTCTAAGTACATTTTTATGTGTTTAGTACTTAAAAGCAATTTAAAAATAATCAGTTTAAACTAAAATTTTTTTAGAGAGCTCTGAGTTTTCATAAACAGTTACAGCTTTCTATGCTTGATTTGGTTTTGTTAAATGTTAATAAGACAGTTTTTACAATTACATATAAATTTTAAAAAACCTACTCAGCATCTCAGAAAAGAGCCGGGGAGTGGAAAGTGAAATCCGTGGGGAAATTCAGTTAGCCGAGCTCTTTGACGCACAGTGCGAACTCTTTATTGGCCTGCGAGATCGTTAGCCTTGTGTTTCAGTTTTGAAAGATGAAAAGTGATTTAATCGCTTAATCTCATGCTTTGATTAAATTTTAGCTCTGTTCCTTAAAGTTTGCAAAAGAAATGTAAGTGCATTTCTAGTCTCGTCATGCCACTAAAAGCTATTTAAAAGTGAAACTTTTTGTGTATTAATGTGAACTGATTTGTTTATTTAAACTTTTATTTTGATACATTTTCCTTTCAGATTTTTTCATATTTTGTGTCACAATATGCAATTCTATATTTTTCAGTGTTTATTTTATGAATATTAATATAAGCTATTTTTTTCTAGAATGACTGTGTAATGTTTGTATTATGTGATCATTTAAAAACTAATAAATATTTTCTCCATAAAAAATGCACTTACTGATAAATGGCTTATTTTTGTTTCAGGAGTAGAAAATGAAAACTACAACAGTATTTTTAAGTGTATTTTATTTTAAACTGTTAAAATGATTCTTTATTGGGTCACCGAGTGCCAAATTTATGAAATAGCTGATCTGTTTAATCTATTTTGCAGTTTCCTGATCAGCTTCAGCTTAGCTTTGTTTCTAGAATCGATTCTTTTTAGATGCCATTTTTGTATGTCAGTTTTGCAAACCATTAAAACTCTTGAGTCAAAATTATAAATCGTAGGAGTAATGTGGCCAAATATTTTAAAGCAAATCGACCAAAATATAACCCCTTATCAAGTAACATGCGAATAATAGTTCCCATGCCCAGAAAATCACATTTGAAAACAATGACCGATTGGAGACTACCTAATTCATAGGAGCTGTTAACAGGAGAGGAAAAATGTTTTATATTTTAGTGTCCTGCTTGAAGAAATAATTGTAGAAGGTGGAATATCAGGACAACATGGAGAAGGACAAAATTTGGTTTTAATGATTCTGGTCTTTCTAACTATCTCAACTTAATTAAAGCCACCAGAACAATTTACCTTTTCTATGCAGAGTCCGCTAGAAGCAAGAGGATTTCCCTTTTAATTTGAAGAAAATTCATTTAAGAAGTGGACTCCAAAGATTAAAAATAAACATTGCGATGGAGTCCTAGGCAAGGAATAAAAGTCAAATCAATGACACCTTGTGGGTTAAAATGAAATGATTTGGCTCCTCAAAGAAATTATACTCTGGAAAAAAAAAAAAGGAAATTATAATTTAGAATAGCTACTGTATTTTGGGGGGAGTGGGAAAGAAGCTAAAACTCGTGGTGTTATTAGTCTGGTAATTTTGGAAAAGATGAGTAAGGATTCTGTGGTAAAATTTTGTTTTTAGAATGAAAGCTATTAAAAGGGATGTAGACATAATGTATTCCAATGTAAGCTATACTTTACTCGAATACAAGAAATCTGATAATCCTTAACTACACGTGTTTAAAGGGTAGCGTGTGGGGGTTAAATAAAAACCCTGCACCAGAAGCTTCGAACATGTAAAAATAATGGGAAAATAAGAGTCTTAAATAATTAATTTTGACTATCTGGACTCTTCCCAACACCATTGGTAGCTTTAAAATAAAAATATTACAGAATGTGAATGGCTTACCTGGATATCTTTGAGGTGTAAGAATGTATGCTATTGTTTCATCATCGATTGGATTAACTAGAATAAATTGTGTTCTTTAGTGAGGAAACAGGTTTTTTTAATAGCTTCTGTTTTAAAAAAAATCACATAAGCAGTGTGACGTATAGATTATTGTAAAGATCTTTGTGGACAGGTCTTATTTGACTGCTACCTTGAAACAGTCGAGCAGAATGTCAGTGCTTAGATATCCTAAGCAATTTCTTGCTTTTTGTTTCCTATGAAAAAGACTTCATTTTAATTTAGTCCTAAAATGTGAAAGATTTGCATTTCCAAAAATAAGCACATAGATGCTCTAAAGTTTTTTTCCACTGACATGTACATCTAAGGTAATTAAATTACTGCAGTAAAAACATTAGGGACCTTTGAAGTGTGCATCGGAGTTTTCAGGAATTGTGATCAAGGGATCTCTTCTCAAGAGGTAAGGCATGGCGCAGGGAGGAAATGTTTAGAATGTGTTCCATGCGATATCTGTTGATAAAGGGAATACATCAGATAACTTTCGATTTTCAGACAGATGTAGAATTAGGAAAATCATTTTTCTTAAAAATCTCTCCCAGAGAAGAGAAATGGATCAACCACAGATTTGATTTTGTATGACTTTGGGATATGTTTAGAAACACATCCGTGGACGTTGGACCCTTTGTGTACTTCCTCTATTCCAAGGCCTCTCCTACCCTTGCTTTCTTAGTGTTTATGATCCATATTTAATTGAGTATTTCTTAGGCTCTGAGCACTATTAAAATATACTTTACTTGGGAAGTTATTGCCCGGCTTCAGTTTTGCTGTGAATGCCTGTTTTTATTAAGTGATACCTAGAACTTAAAAAACAGTAGCTGTGCTGAGTAATTTTTACTTTGGTTTGATAATTTCAAGTTTTATACACATTCACTTATACCGTAACTGTCACATTATGGATTAAGAAGTAATATTGTTGGCTAGTATAGAAAATCGGAGAAGAAAGTTACGGTTATTTTTTAAGAAGTCAGGTTTAGCATAATATTCATAGTATATCTAGAAACAGGAAAGTACAGTATTCAATACAGATAAACTAGAAAAACGATTAGGTTTTTTTTCTAGAATTAAATTACTATCATTTACTCAATAGATGGCGACCTAGAAAACAGTAATCTTCCACCCTGTCTTGTAACTCTTCACGAGAGCCCCGCGTGTGGACATTCGGCGTCTGCTTAACGCAGTTTGCTGTCCACCCCACTTTCGCCTTCGTGGGGAGGAAACGACACTGTCGCTGTGAAATCGCGAGACAGCTCGCTACGTGACGTAGCCGATTCTGTGTTCAGGATGCTCTATGTTCTGAAGTTGGTCCAGAATTTGCTTCCACATCATTTTTAATTTGAAAATTAGAACTGATCTAAATAGTTTAGCATCCTCATTTTATGTACTAGAGCAGCGGTCCCCAACCTTTGTGGCCCCAGGGATTGGTGCTCCTATCCTATCCTATGAGAATGTAACGCCTGAGGAGCTGAGGCGGAGCTGAGGCGGTGATGCTGGCGCTGGGGGGCGGCTGCAGGCACAGGTGGAGCTTCGCTTACTCCCCGGCCGCTCCCCTCCTGCTGTGCAGCCTGGTTCCTAACAGGTCACGGACCAGTGCCGGGCCACAGCCTGGGGGTTTGGGACCCCTGTAGATAACCGGTAGCCAGGAATATCACTTATTTCTAATATCACACAAGTCTCGTGACTGCAAGTTCAGAGACCTGTACTTCCCTGCGTGTTATCTGCCGTCTCACGTCGATCCTCGTTCTGGGTAACACAGCAAGTCTGATTTTCTTCAAATACGACAGCTTTCATTAATGTTAAGAGGCTGTTCTATTCCAAGCCAATTTTTACCCCTACAAATGAAGCACCTCCATTTTCTGGCTCATGTGGCATGGTTGTGAGATCTTTGAAAGCTTCGAAGAGCTGCTCTGAATATGCTTATTTATCACTGTTTGTGTTAATGGGTGACACTGAGCCCGATGGCCGAGGCAGGTGCCCAGCCTACGTGTGGCTCGAAGGCTCTTTCCGCTTTGTTTATCCTGACATTTTTATCCTCTAAGGTGCTTAATTTTATCCATGTTGAGATTCTCTTGAGTAAAAAAGTTACGTAATATGCAATTCCCCCACTGAAAATTAGGCTAGTACTGTTTCTGCAAAGACTAATGTTCATAGTTTAGTGGGAAAGAAAAAAATTGACTCAAGATACTAGCTAAGACCTTGAGGAGTCATAGTCAAAAATACAGTCTCCATTTCAATTATTTTTTATTTGCTTAATTCTGACTCAGATAACTCTAAATCCCATAGTAAATGACTTTGTAATGTAACATGACATTTTTTTCAGGTTGTTCTCGCTCATTTAAGGGTAACTGGGCCCCTTAGAGCTAAACTGTTGACACACGACAGACATTGAGAAGAAATTGAACTTGTGTTTAGTAACATAATTAAAATTAGAAATGAAAGGCAGTGCGTTGGCGGAACCGTGTGAGATCTGTACCAAATGGCAGAAGGTGACGAAGTGGCCGTGCAGGCCTGGGGCGTGGCCGGGTCGCGATGCAAGGCGGCCTTTCGCTGCCTCTTGAGACAGAGCCACGTTGTTTTGTTAGAACAGCATTTCAATTACCAGTTAAACATTTAACTTTTTTTCTCCTAAATTTTAAATCGAGCCCCAGGAAGACACAAAGTGTTTATTTAATGGTCGTGTACCTCTTAGGATACAAGAACCTTTGTTGGAGAAACACACATTTGAGATGTATATTCGACTTGACCTGAATTAGAATTTCAGGTAAATGAGGGAGAAAGGAAGGGACAAACATTTACATGCCTACTCAGTGCACCTCTGGCTAGGTGCTTTATGTAAATGAATCCAGCTGACCTGTGGGAGAGGTCATTTTTATTTTACACATGGAGATACTGAAGCTCGAGGGCGCAAAATCCACAGTGAAGGCAATAGACAGTGAAGGCATTTGAAGGACCATCTGTCAAAATCTAAATTCCATTGCACTGCTGTGAACGCCAAACATCTTTGTCCAAAAGAAAGCATATTCTCAGGAAAGTGTCAGGTAGAACCTCAGTGTTTAAAGTCGATAAAACGGGTATTTAGTGTGCGTTTCTCAGTCGGCTTTTTATTTTATTTTTTTTAAAGAAAGGAGTTCTAGTTTTACCGAGAAAGTGACTAGAAAGTACAGAGAGGTCACCCACCCCCCCACGGATACCCAGTGTCCCCTCCCACACCTTCCTCTGTTAGTCACATCTTGCTTTTCTGTGCTGCATGTGCTATAATGAATGAACAGATACTGATAGCGTCACTGTTAATCGAAGTCCATAGTTTACATGAGGGTTCACTCCATGTCATACAGTTCTATGGGTTTTGCCAAGTAGATAATGTCATATCGCTTTATAGTGTCATACGGAATAGTTTCGCTGACCTACACGTGCCTTGTGCTCCACCTGCTCATCCCTCGCTCCCCGCCCCTGACAACCACAAATCTTTTTCTGTCTCTATCGTTTTGCCTTTTCTAAGATGTTAAATACTTGGATATATAACCCTTCGGGCTGGCCTCTTTCACTTAGCAATATACAATGTCTTTTTGTGTATCATCTTTGGCAAGGTGTCTGGCTCTTTTGCCAACTTTTAAGATCGGTGGTTTATTTTCTCATTGAGCT